CAAAAAAGCACCAGGGGTGTCTGTACCTGCCGGCACCAGCTATTTTGTTAGGATGTTTGGCAGGACAGGCTGAGAAAGTCCCTTTGAACCTGAACAGGATAATTCCTGCGTAGGGAGCGTGCATTTTCTCTTCCGTTTTTTGTACAGGGATGGAAGTTCATCCTTGATACGGCCTTGCCAATCCATGTGGGATGGGTTTAGCTCCATGGTCAGAACATTTCTCATGCCAGGCAAGTTGACTAGGAAATGATAAACTCCAACATTTGCTGTGCCTTTTTCCCAGCATACAGTTAGCCAAACTCCCTCGATATGTAGGTCGTATACTAAAACCATGTCTTCCCGCTCCATTGAGCCAGAATCAAGAGAAAACCTGAAAATATGTATTTGCTCGAAGTAGCTAAGAAGGAATAAGTGCTAATCCAGTTTCTCAAAAGCCTGAAATTTCTTGGTTAAACAATTCAACTTGAGACTTTGATTTTTCAGTTATTAATATAGAATAGGAAGAATGTATGTTGACAGCAAAAATCATACCACTATGAAGTAATCTGGGAATTCTGCAAATCGTGTCAACCCAACAGAAGGTAACGTCTACTTAGAGTGTATGTAGATTTACCAATCGTAGGAAGTGTCTTAAAACGAATTTAAAATGTCATGCTGGGGTGAATCTAAAGAGATGTCATACTGGAGCAAGAGAAACTAGGCTGATATTTGCTGGGAGAGAGAGAGAGCTTGTACGTGTGCTGAAAGAAAGAGAGCGTTTACCAACATTTGATTTTGTTCAAATGCTCGGGCTGTATCAGCAAGTCTAGTGATATACCTTTCACTCTCTCTTTATTTTTTTTCCCCCTTGAGGGTTGCTTTTCTCATGTTCAGAACCCTCCCAGTGCAACAGATGAATTTTGAACGAGGGTTAAACTTTAGCAAGGAGCAGGGATATGCTCAACAATACGAACATTGGAAACAGTAAACCAAATTAAGCCAAATCCCAACTCAGTTAGGATGGGCAACGCAAAAGCATAGCCCGCAGAAATTTATTGAATCTGCACCATGTGCCAAATACGAAGAACCTCTAATGTGATTGTAAAATCTTTCTGGACTCAAAATAGAGCAAGGACAGCCAAGCCAGGAAAAGGAAATGGTCCAAGGAGAGAGGCTTAACGGTTAACAGGTTTCTTTTTTTTTTTTTTTGGAAGGACGGTTAACAGGTTTGATGACACAGAAGATGGGGCAACGTCACACAATGTTCAGTTGACTAGCCAACTCTAAAACCTTAAATTTTTTTTTTTTGGGATAGAATAACTCTAATTCTTGTTACTTCAATCTAGCCCGATCCCAGTAAACCACAGATTGTAGTCTCACCAAGCCATTCAACATTTATCTTCAATGCTTGCATACACAATAAAATAGATATAGCACTTATTTCAAAGAGTGCCACAGTTGGAAAGCAAGAAGGTCCATAACAGTGCCTATACCAACAGAAATGGAGATCTTGCTACTGTACGGAATCATACAAATCCAATCCAGGAAATGTAATTGTTCTTCAGAAGCTAACCCGGCTAAATTGGAGCAGCAAGCGAAATGGATTCTGAAGTACCAGGTGTGAAGGAAAAAACAACTTAGTTGTCATATCTACACAAAATGAAATGATTGATCTTTTCCCGCGAGGAAGGAATCTAATTTAAGAGCAAATGCGGCAAAAAGGAGAAATCCCTACCCGTTCAAAATACACCAAAAAATACAAAACCAAACTGCCTGCTATTATACATTTGCAATGTCAACGCAAACGTCCTGGTAAATTTGGCAAAATCAGTAGTATTGTTCGCATCCCCCTCGGCCTCAATCATCAGATTTCTCCTCTCCCTCCAGTCCTGAGCATTATTCCGAAGAAAACACTACCATGTTAGAATATTACGGTCTGAACTGAAGTACTCCAGTTAAAGAGCAGCAATAGTACTTTTAAGCACTCAATTACCATGATAATAAATTCTTTTTTTTTTTTTTGCCTTTATTGGGTGAAACTGAAAAGTACTATCATCATCATGAGCAGATGAACAGAAAGGAGCGTAGAAACTCTGATGGCTAATTCGCATAATAGTTCTTATAGAGCATCAGAAATGCATTTAAGAACAAAATGCTAATAAAACATAACCAAAATATATATCAACAAGGAATTGTACTAGTACTTACTTACTATCGACTCAAATCTTCCCAGTAAAGAAAGCAATGCAATGCATACCAATAGAATTATTGACCAAGCACAAATGCGTAAAACCAAATCCACAGCCATTGATCAAGATTATAGCTAACGAGAATTATCGGAGAAAGCCCAACTAACCTTCTTCTCCTACTTCTTCTGCTAATTCTTCCTCCTCCTCATCGTCTTCGTCGTTGTAATCGAACCCATACCTCTCATTCAAGAACTCCACAGCACCACTGGTGAAGACTAACTTTTCAGAATCCAAAATGTCGAACAGATTCAATGTCCTAGGCGTCAACATCTTCAGAGTCCCAATATTCCTACTGGATAACCTCACATTGTCCGAAACCTCAGTCATCAAAAACACTGATTTCTCCTTGGGATCCAAACCCCATCTCCTCATTAAAGCAATGAATTCCTTAGTTTTCGGCTTCTCAAACTTGTCCTCGAAATTTTCAACAACAATGGTATTCTCAACGGCACTACTAATGGCGGTGGAAATCGCGAGTTTTTTTTCCTTTTTATTAATTTTCACCGACCAATCTTTCGGCTTGGGCCCGAAAACCACGCCACCACCGGGGCGGAGAGGGGTGCGCTGTGACCCCCGACGTGCTCGGCCGGTCTTTTTCTGGGGGTAAGGTTTGACGCCTCCTCCGCGGACCTCAGAGCGTGTGAGAGTTGAAGCAGTGCCGCGGCGGCGGTTACGGAGGTCGGTGGTGAGCCCGCGGTGGACGACGGAGCGGGCGGTGTCGAGGGGGGCGGACTTGAGGTTGAGAGTGGTGGAGCCCACCTGGGTGCCCTCGAAAGACAAGATTGGGATAGTAGCTAGCTCGGAGCGAATGAGAGCTTTGGTTGAAGTAGTGCTGGTGAGGGCGAATTGGGGTGGACGTTTGTGGGTGGTTTTACAGAGGAGGCTAGCTGAGTGGTGGTGGTGGCGGGAGGCGGAGAGGAAAATTGAGGAGGAGAAAAATGAAATGGAAGAAGACGGCGTCGTAGTGGCTGACATTTTTCCCTTTTTTGGGGGCGGTGAATGGGTGGCGGATGGGCGGGGGGGCTGTGTGTTTTTGTGCGCGAGTGTGTTTTATCTGCAAGAAGTTTTGGTTGGCCTATCCGTTGTTGCAGTTCAGGTGAGGTGATAATGGAAGGGATGAGTAAAGCGTACAAACAAAACCGAGCAACACGACTTCTTGTATACTTGTGAAATCGTTAAACGATGACCTCTTTGAACTTTTAGAAGTTCTTCATTATACTCCTACTAGTCTTGTACTTGCATTTTTATTGTATCTATATGAAATCGTTCCATAATCTCCTTTTTTTTTTTTTTTTGGGTATGGTAAAACAGAGCACACAAAGGGCACTAATGATGTTCTACCATACCATTATGTCGTAGAAGGTACTTTTGAGATTAACAATTACTATAATTTACTATAAATGGCTTAACAATGAACTTCTGATCTTTTGTTTTTTTTATATATATAGGAAGGTTTAAAAGTAATTTTGAAATTAGAAATAAGCAATTATACCAACAAAATATGTGATAATTAATCGCTGTGCTCTGTTAGAAATGAATTATGATAACAACGATCATGATGCAATGAAATTGTCAATCTACTTAATAATGCCTTATAAAATTTCTTTTATTTTTTTTCGTTTTAGTTGAATCATAAGAGTATTATGATAATAAGACTTCATAATGGTATTTGAGTGATTGTTTTTATTCAAATGAACGCGAAGGATATTGTTCGCATTTATTTTAGGGAAAATGATCGGTTTCATTATTCACATTTCACAAAAATATAATTTTCGTCCCTCACTTTTAAAATGAAATAATTTCGTCCTTGACATTTAAAAACTGAAATTATTACATCCCTGAACCTAAATTTCAATTTGAATCAAATCACCAATCAACCTGATTACAAATTTTGGGGGTGTAATTGGTAGATCATTTGGTTAACTCAACTTGATATTCATGTGAAATTTAATGAATCTAAAAAGAAAAAATAAAAAATTATAACATAAAAAAGAAAGGTTAATCTTTCATACATTATTATTGTATACACTGACGGTTTTATGTACCGCCATATCATTTTAATTTTAATTTAAACACCAAATTTTATATTTATGATACACATATAGATTCGCAAGCGGATATACTAACGGTGCATGAAAAGATTTACCAAAAAAAAAAAAACTCTACTATTCCAAGACAAATAATAGCCTTTTATTTTATAATTTTCTTTTTTTGATTTAATAAATGTCATGTGAATATGATGAAATTGACTGAATGATCTATCAATTCTATTTCCGAAATTTATTACTGGGTTATTGGATGGTTTGATTCAGATTGAAAATTAGGTTCAAATATGTAATAGCTTTAATTTTTAAATGTCAGGGACAAATTTGCTTCATTTTAAAAGTGAGGGACAAAAAGAATATTTTTACGAAATGTGAGGTATGAAATATGTCATTTTCCCTTTATTTTATTCTTTTTCTTTTTTTGAGTTGCAAAGTAATCAAATGCTTCTACGTGTTGAAAGGACAACATTTACTCCGTTGTAATATATATTAAATTTGAGGGAGCTGAGTGTAATTATTGTTGTAATACTCCGAAGCTAGAAGACTATTTCCCCCAAAAAAAAAACTACAAATACAGACAAGATACATATGGAGAAAATTGAAAAAGGCTCGACATCCTTAGATTGCCAAGAGATATTCTAATCAATTAAGTCAAAGCTATTATCCGAGATAGGTAAAGATTAAAAAGTAATAGTAATCTTTTTCTTTTCTTTTTTTTGGGGGGGGGGGGGGGGGGGGGGGAAAGGATGAAGTACAGTAGTGAGTAGTCGATTTCTGTTTTTGCATCTGGCGAGGATTTGTGAACAGCAAAGGGTTCAGCTCCTCTTCTTAGTTTTTTCCGCTTTTTAAAAATAAATCGTAGCATTAACACATCGTTAGGTGTTGTCTGTTTTACACGAATTGTGGGTTTACTGTGGAAAATCTCCGCTTCAGAGGTTTGATAGTTATGGAGACAGGAAAGGCTGAGATTTACCACGAGAAGCAAAGATTGCAGTTCTGCCTTTTACACTCCCTCAATAATCTCTTCCAGGTACTCTCTTGCTTTTATGTCTCCATCCCCTTCCAATTCTGAAACCCCTCCTTTTCCGTATATTATACCTGATATTCGTGTCTCTGGTGTCTGAATTACCGTTTTCCTTTCTGGGATTTTTCCTTCAGTCATGAATCTATGCTTAGTATGCTAGGTTCTTATGAATAAGATTGAATTATGTACTTCTATCCATCCTGACAAACAAGAACCCAAAATGAAAATAGTTATTTCTAGAATGCTACGGTGCAGCCGTTTAAGTCAGGCTTGAATTTTTCTTGACCGTAGCAGGTGAATAGATAGAGCCATGTATACTGATTTTATAAGGTATTTGGCTAGTTGTGATTGAGTCGATCAAAATGTTTTTATTCAGGATAAAGATGCATTTACACGTGCGGATTTGAATGTTATTGCTGAAAGACTTCACATTGATGATCCCAACAAGGGAACATGGACTCCGTTGTCTGCAATTTTTAAGCCCCATCATAATCTGCTTACAGGAAACTTTGACATCAATGTTCTTATTGCTGCACTCGAAGAGAAAGGAAAAAGGGTTGTTTGGCATGATCGGCGAAACGGAGCTTCTACTATTGATCTTGAGGGCTCAGGAAACGAATTAATGGGTATTGTGCTTAATATTCCAGTGAAGAAGTATGTTGGGCTTTGGAGAAGTAGACACTGGGTTACCTTGCGAACGGTTGGAGGTGTTTGGTATAACTTAGATAGTGATTTTTCCACTCCTTATCAGTTTAAAGATACAGAAGAAGTGAGGAATTTCTTGGATTACATAATAGCTGCTGGTGCTGAAGTTTTGCTCGTCATGAATAATGAAAAATGAGCCTTTGGAATTTACGAAGAAAAACGGTTAACTGGTGTTTGTATTTACTTCTGCATATTTTTGCATACTAAAGAGACGTTTTTGGAATGTAAAAGATCAACAGACAGCAAAGTAACAATGCCAATTTTTTTCTGCCAACCCGTTGTAATATCTCTTAATGGACTCACCGTTTGTTTGACATCTGGTGCTGAAGTTGACAGGTCCAAATCAATCATATGCAGAATACTTGTTGAACACTTGTAGATAATAATACATTTGATCGTAAGGTCTGGATGTTGGCATGTGTTTAAAGACAGGATCCATGGATTCTCAAGTAGCCACTTGTCTCGAATAGTCTTCTGGGTTCATCTCCAATGTGAATGCAGTAATGAAGATACCATCTAGAGTTTCAATGTACAGTGACCTGATGTCTTCCTTTGAAAGGTGCACTTATAGATTTGCAAGATTTCTGTGAGTTGTTGTGACATTAGCTATGAACAATGATAGGAGATCTGTAAATGAACATTTTATCTGCTCGTGTCGTATGTATTTCTTTTTCTTAGACTTTTTACAGGTATTCTGTGATGGGCGGCATTGAAATATTGACAATAGGGACATGAAGTTTTGCTGTTTTTCCAGAGGCAGTTTAATAGCACCTTATGCTCTTTAATCTTTGTCGCATGATGGTTGCTCTTAGAGATTAGGTAGAAGATTTTGAGAAACACAACCAAGCCAACCAAAGAACTATTTGCTAATTTTATGAACCGCAATTTTCGTTAACACCACCAGAAAGCATTTGTACCATTAGAGTTGTAGTTGCTAAAGTTCTGGAGTAGCAACCCTGGTAAATTACTTGATTTTGAAAGTTTTTCTTTGCAAGTGTCATCTTTTTATGTTTAGAAGTGTGTAAGGATTATCCTCTGGCATTTGTTAAAAAAATTGACTGCAGTTGGAAGATCTATGTTGAATTATGCCGATTTAGTTGCCGCAATATCTGAGTTATCAGTGAGCTTACTTAAACACTATGTTAAACTTCTGCAGGTTGATTGGTTATTGCCAGGCAAAAAGAAGATATGGCAAAACTAGGAAAACTTGTCAGCTTTATTTTTCGACTGCTGTGGGTATTTCTTTTCTTTTCTTTTCTTTTCTTTTTTTTGTATCCAAAATTCAGAGGCTTCATGCAGGCTTTGATCCTTAAGACATCCTTGCTTAAAGATAAAATGCATGGCTTTGAGCTTTAGAATTCCTTCCAGTGAACTGTGGAAACGGATTACCGAAAGATTGATCAACTTGGCGTTGCCTTTTTCCTGAGAAAAGTGTTTGATTAACTGGAATCACCTTTTTTTGGTGGAAAAACTGGTGGGCTATGGAGAAAAATCCGCACGCAGGTGTGAATTATTTTCAGTTTTCAATTCCAACGCACTAAAATTTTCTTTCCCAGCTTGGAGATGCATTACCGAAAGGTGGATTGGTTGCAAATCTCATTTCTTTAACCCTTACAGTCACAGAAGATTATAAAAAGGTTATTGGCCTCACCTCCTCTGGTGGCATTCTGCTGAAGCCCCACGTTATTCTCTTTTCCATTAACCTTTATCAAATTTTAACCTTTCCTAAACGCCTTTCTATTTTTTGTGTGGCCCATTAGAACTATCAACTTTAATTCTCTCCTCAACTGATTCCAAGATTAGGTTTTTAGTAGTAAATGATTTTGTGACTATTCACAATAGGCCCTTGGCTAGAATTTGTCACATTTAAGGCGACCCAGCACTCCATGTTGCCCACCACCCCGTGTGGGCGACACAGATTTTGCTTCAAGATGGTATGGATGATTTTCTGTTGCTGCTCCAAGTCAGAAGAAAGGACTGAAACAAGAATCATTAAATTTTGCATCATCGGAAACAAATACGAATTGTCACGACTTCTTTCTGGGGTAAATCCAGAACAATATTATCTTTTTCCCCTTCCTTTGAGCCTCGAGTAACACTTTAAAACAAGAAGCAGGATAAACTCTCAAGTTAGTGCAAATCAGAGAGTACACCAGTGATGACTAATCATTAGGCTTTAAATAGATCGGTCATCTTCTTAATCAATGGAAAACACTTGTGCCTCATTAGTAACTGAAAATTAGTGGGATTGCTGGTCGGCTTTGAAGCTGGAGCTCAGATTTGCATTACAATCAATATCTATCCGTATTTGCCAATTTATAGGGGGAAATGAGGGACAGTAAGCCCCTGAAAATTGTCTCCTAGATTTACTTGGTGGATTGAACGTAAAGCATAGCATACCATGATTGGTAAGAGGGTCCTCCTGAGATTCCACAATAAATTGACAGGTCCTCCGCCGAGAACCTTTGAAAATTTTGGTTAGTAAATTTTAATTCGACAACTAATGCAGGCGCAATTTGGCTACATTCAGCAAATCTGGGGATGGTCTGAGCTTAGTTTATGCAATTAAAGCTTAAAGGTAAGAATTTAGGAGGAATAGCTAGAGAGATCATTCTTGAAACTTGTACTTTAGACAGGTGCTATCACTTTTTCTTGACTGCACTGTCTTGACAGTCTGGGAATGCAGTAACCTTTTTTGTCTTTGCGTTCTCACCTTTATTTTCAAGAAACATAAAAAGAAAAGAAAAGTTTATTCTGAACTTCTATAAAAGCACATAACTGCACACTTCACTCCTACATATTCTTGGGCTTGCTCCCTTCTTTCTCTCCGCCTCTCTAGCTCAAACTTCTAGTACTTTTAAAGCTATTGATTCTTTTGAGATGTCCGCTCAGAAAGGCAATGGACGAGCCAACAATGTTGGATCGCATGCTACTGTTCATCAGAAGCCCGCGGCAGAGCTTCAGAAACAGAAGTCTTGCAAGAAAGAAGACAATACCCCGAGGTGTACAAGAAGTTGCAAATTCAGGTTGCCGAGAAAGAAAGAATTATCTCCACTCAAGTATCTTAAACATATTGGTGGTAAGATGTTCGCAGTGCTGCAAATGATGTCTCCTAGAAGATGTTCTCCTAAAGTTACTTCCTCGGAAAGGGCAAAGCCCTCTGTTGCTCCAGTTGATTCTCATCGCGCTGAAGCTATAGATGATTGCATCGAGTTTATTAACTCTTCTTCTTCATTGCCAAGATCAAATTCCACTCTGCAGTAGATGCTCAACGTTTCTCATGAAGACCTTGGGCTATAATTTAGATCCTAGAAAGTTGTGGCTTTATCAAACATATTTGTTCCTCCTGTAATTGCTATTTGCTGATGGCTTTCTTGATGACTTTTTGTAATTGAAACCAGGAGAACCTAAGATTTTTTTTTTTTTAACATTTCTAGGTAAATTAGTAGACTGTAGATTTGAATGCTGCAATAATCATTTGCTTAGTAAGCTGTCTTGCTATGGGTACCTATTTTGAGGCCATGGCCTAATATAAACCATGGTCCGCAGAGTGGTGGTTGAATATTATTGTACAACGGTCAAAGATAAAGTTCACATATAAACACTACTATTATGCTATTCTGTTGCTTTTGATTTCTTTCTCTACTCTTATATTTAGTAGTACTCAAAGAAAATGAATAGGCATGCTTGATGGTGTGGTTTTCAAGTTTTCAACCAAAGATTCATCAACAAGTGATCCCTTCTTGTCGAAATGCATGAGCGGTATGGTTATCATACCTTGCTTACTCTATGCAAACAAATGATTACTCTGCTAGTCGTTAAATGTCAGTGATCTCTTTTCGTGTGAATTCTCCAAGTGTAACTACTACTACTACTATGACCTTTTAAGAGTTACTAAAATTTTGTAGTCCTTGGCATGACGACTAAGAACTGTGGTAGAATCAATCAGGATTGATTATACCTCCGGCCAACAAACTGAACAAAGGGCTTAGCAATAGTGGCAGCAGTGTTGGAGCCAAGAATGGAGAATTTGGGGGGCAGCCACAGACGCGACTGGTTCATTGTACCATTGAGTCATTGACGAAGCCACATGTCACTGTTTCCAGAATCGAAGAAGCCCCATAACATATGTTTTTTAAATCAGAGGATTTTGTGTGGCTGGCTGTCTTCTTTTAAGGCTCTTCTGGCTGTCTTCTTGAGGTCATAGTAGGATGGTAGGCTAAGAATACCTGTCTCGTAATGAATGAATGTCGAAGGCGTCGGTGAAGGGTCCATGTCAGTCGCACATTCAGATGATGAAGACTCGTGTCTGTCCATTTTGTTTGTCCATAGTTAAAGTGGTCACCTACCTAATTAACACCCTTTTTAACATTTGCAGTTGTTGCTGTTGCAGTTCCTATGCATGGGTCAGCGCTCAAAAAATGATCAGCTCTGGAAGTGTGCAGAACAGATGTGGTAACAGTATTATTAGGTTGTCTTTTGTTCTTTCTGCCAGCCGAATCTTCATCTCTGATGGGCGCTTTCTTCTTTCTACTGGTGAAGCATGGACTAAGAATAGGAATAGTTGATCAGACAAATATTATTATACAGCAATCTGTTCATGAGGTCTTCTGTATTATTATTTGTTGTCCCTCCCATCACTAGTTCAGAAGTTCTTGCCCATTTACCGGTTTAAAATTGTTAATCAGGGAAAGTGGGGGTTCTACACTTCTATTCAAGTTTCAATCTAGGAGGTCGGGTTCTGCTGTAGCTTAAGAAATATACAAAATTGGCAACTTATTTTTTACTTGCAAATTTGGATTTGGTAATGAACAAAGGGGTAAAAATGGGGGTCAACTGATAGTAAAAAGAGTGACAGCATCAATCAAAAATATAGGCAGTCACCTTTATTATTATTTATAGTTGCTAAATTATAATTATGAAGAAGGAAAGAATTATGGAAAAAATTTAGCACAGCTTTAATTGCTCTTGGATGACAACTAAATGCTTAGGAATTTTGGGATAACATTACATTGGTTTCTAAGCCTTCCACTTCCATTTCTCTTGCCATTTTCCCTCATTCATAAATTAGGCGCGTTGGCTTCACTTTTATTACAGGACCAGAAATGAACATATAGCACTCGATCATCCTACGGCCATGTCCAAATCGGGTCCTCAAAACCAATATTACCATATTGCCTGGACTAATCACAAACATAATATATGTTTCTTCAATGCTTTTTTTTTTTTTTTTTTGTATGCTAAACTCAAATTTGGCTTCAGAAGCCATTATGTTAGTTAGTTAGGTTCCTATTCTTGGCTGACTTAATTAGCTTTATGAAACTAATAGTAGTTCAAAGATTTAATTGGATATTAGTTTCCACAATCATCAATTTCAAGTGGTTGGGTTTTTGTTAAAATAAATCTACCATGTGTATACTATGAGCATTAGTCATTATTAAAAAAAAATTATATCGAGATTATTAGTATTTGGTACAAGATTGAAAAGTTGAGACGATTCTACTTTTTTTAGAAATTATTATCCACTTCTAAAAGTTTATGAACGATAAATTTTTTAGTAAGCTTATAGCAAAAAATAAAAATGTCAAGCATTTCACTATGCGTTACTTTAAGCTATTAAAAATAATTACTTATATGAATACTATGCGCTAATCTTGCATTTACGGAGGAAGAGGGAAAATGAGAAAGGAGGAAGAGGAGAGAGAAACAAGGCAAAGGAGAAAATATGCGGGAACCGATAGTGCATGGAACAAGAATACTTTTTGTGTATAAAATTTTTTTTTATTTTATTTTAGGTGTATTTGAAATTGTGTGTGTTTTTATGGTTGTTATTGTAAGGTCCACAAACAAAAATACTTTTTGGAGGAAAAAAAAAGAAAAAAAGAAGACATATCCATGTGGAGACTATATTTTTTCTAAATATTATTTTACTTGTATCATAATTATAATTTTCAATCAACTTTTTTATTTTTCAATAATATTTTTGACTCGCATACATTACATCACAAATACTTCAAATGATCTCCTATTCATACACACAAAAAAGAATTTGCTAAAAACTCTCACCACCCTCTCATACTCACTGGACCTGCTATAGATGACCAGCCGCCACGCTGCAATCCTTACCACGCCGCTTTCTTGAATTAATATTTCTGATTCAGCTGTTAGGCTCGATCCAAGGACCCTCTAGCCCAATGATAGTGGGCTCAGCTCGACATCATGATTAACAATTGACTTTAGCCCGTTCAATCATCGCCTGAAGCATTCAACTGCATATCCCATTGAGTTGGTCATAGACACCGATCCGGACATGAAATGTCTCCGATTGTGTCTATCGCTTCGGCTTCGAAGCTCCTTTGGACCCAAACTAAATATATCATCCCACCGCAGTTGAGACTTGCCAAGAGATCGCATTTAATTTGAGAACAAATCTTCGTCAAGAAGAGGAAGGGAATGATGCAATTCGACCCAAACTAAATATATCGTCCCACCGCACTTAGAATTGAAGTTTAACACTTTTTTAGCCTCTTATATTCTATGTCACTACATATTTCGAAATTGAAAGGCAAAAAAAAAGGTCCTTAAGGCAAATATTTCAAGTTGTTAACGTTGAATTTGGGGATTGACTACAATAAGTTTGGAGTCTTCCTTGACTTTTGTTTTAAAAGGGGAAAAAGAAAGAAAGAAAGAAAGAAAATTCTCCCACCAAAATTATACTTCAATCTTTTTTCTTTTTCTTTTTTTAGCCTCTTCTTATACTCCACCTGACTACATGAGGTTTTTTCAAAATTGAAGGACAAGAAAGCCCCTAAAGCAAGGAAATAGTACCAGGATCCATGGAAATAATGAAGTCATCGCAGCATTCTGCCGAACAAATGATTGAGAATAAAATCAGGAAGAAATAGCAGCGGATAAAAATCCGAATGATGAGTGAGACTAACTTCAATCAGAGGCCTCTACGCTGGCGGGCTGCTGACGTCAGCCTCACTCATTTCAATGCACAAGGAGACGATAGAGACCTGACAAATCAATTGGGCCCTTATAGCAAACCCTGGTTTGTAGATTAAATTACACGACCTGACTTACTCCCCAAGTCTATTTAATGAGCAGTAGGAGAGGTGCGCCAAAGGGAGGCAATGGGGCAGGTGCCCGCAGGGTTGGAAATGGGGCACAGGAGAGGCGGGGCAGGGGAGAAAATTTACCCCCGCCTCAACATACACTCATCCCATTTCTTGTATACAAAAAAATTATATATATACATATATATTTAAATTTATAGATGTACATATAATTCATATATAAAGACAATATAATAATTTATATTTAATAATATAATTTTGAACATACAATTATGACTTGGTCCTATTATATCTCAATCAAATGTTTTAATGTTATTTTTATGGTATTGAGAAGTTGTTAATCTTTTTTAGTTATTAGTATTTACAACTCGTTGAATGGTCTAATATTTAGTAGTTGAGTATGTCTTTATTGAATATTTTGAAATAGAATGAATGATAAAATTGTCCCGAAAATGAGCAAATTGATAAATATAATATATTGATTTATTCTCCTACTAGGGACCGCAAGGAAACGATGCAGGGGCGGGGGATATCTTTTCCCGCCCTATTGCCACCCTTAAGTGCGCCTCGTGGGCATGCAAAACTAGGGATGGCAACGGAAGTGGATGCCCGTGAATACGCACTCAGAGGGAAGAAATGGGGCAGGGGGTGGAGTGAGACAGGGGCAAGGGGAATTTTTCTCTACCGTGTTAAATGGGACAGGAGTGTCCCTTATCCCCCGCCGCTTGCCTATATAGTATAATATATATGTTTGTTTTTATATGCATAATATAAAATAAATGCTATGCTATTGATATTATATAAATCTATTGTATGAAATAAGTAACATGTTATGTTGTTATGATAAAATAATGTAATTTTTTTTTTCAAAAATCTCAAAAAAATCAATAAAGCTATTAATATATATATATATATATATATATATAAATTGAAAAAGTTAAGTCAAATAAAAAAATTAAAAATGACAGTGGGACAGAGTGGATACACCTGCATGGATAGTGAGATGCAGCGGGAGCGAGGGAAACTTTTCTGGAATTGGACCAATGCGGGGAAGCTTTTCCTGTTCCAAATCCGCTCGGTTGTCATCCCTGTGCAAAATTGAGAAACACGTAGTAGTTGATAATTACTGTTACTTCGAAAATTTAAAAGTAAGCTAAGATTCCTTCCAAAAAAAAAAAAAGTAAGCTAAGAATAGCAAGTAATGGGAAGTTAAAAGGTAGTATTTCGCTAATAAAGGGCAATATTTGCAAGCGCAAAAAAGTGTTACACCAACCTCTCCATTTAGTAGTGGGAGCTTATTAATAGTAAGATATGTTTGTCCCGTAGCAACTCATCCGCTGTGAACGAAGCAAGTCTAACGCTCTCAAGAAATTTCTCTTATGATTCAAGGACAAGTGATGGTGTCGACCGAACGATTAACCGAATGCATATGATTAAAGCTATTACTAGTAATATTATTATTACTGTGTCTTTTCTTTTTCTTGCAGGTTTCTTCCGCTTGAATCACAAGGAATTAGAATTGAACAGCTAACTAATACC